GGGTGGGTGGAGGGGGAGAGAGTAACCAAAGAATTGATATGCATATATGCACAACCCAAGGACACGGACAATGGTGGGGAGAGGGACTGGGGAGGGGGAAGGGATGGGGTGGAATGGGTCATTGGGGAGAAAAAGGGACATCTGTAATATTTTAAACAAAAATAAAATTTAAAAATTAAAAGAAATTAAATTAAATTAAAAGAGAATGGAGTTTCACTGTCAAAGGAACAAAGGTTATTTGAACCTGTGGAGTCATGAAAGGTATGGAGGTGACTTGGTGAAGTGAAGCATGGATGAGAAGAGATAAATGGGATGAGATGAGCATAACTGTGGAAGGGTGGCAGGTGGTGGGTGGGAGGGAGGTAGTGCTCACCACTGCCCCCTCCACTGGCTCCTCAGCCCGGGTGTCCAGTCCAGGATCATCCAGCCCAACAGTAGGTGTTGCAGCAGCAAGTGGCTCCTCTGCTTTAGGCTCTGTTGGTGGAGCCTGCTCAGACTCAGCCTTTGATTGTTTGTTTTGAGGGTTAGAGGAAAAAGATGTAATATATGAATAGAGAGCATTACAGAATATTAGACAATTAAAACTTTCATCATCCTAAAGGGCAACTAGCTTCATCAAATCTGAGCTGGGAAAAAGCCCTATATTTGGCATCATGAGCCTTTACAGAACTGGAAAATCTAGTTCCAAGCTTATATAGACTCTAAGCTTCTCTTTTACCATCCTCAAGAACTGTCATTTCCCTTGAAGTCAGGCCAAGACTTACCATTTTGGTTATTCATCTTATTTACTTACAACATTTTGGCTACTTACTTCTTATGACATCTATAAGAGATGCTAAAATGGCACTTTCTGTTATTTGGTAGAGAGAGGAGAGAGAGAACAAGAGAGAGAAGATCCTAGGAGCCCCACCACTGCCAGCTCAAAGAAGTGAGGAAGAGCTCACAAGGCACAGTTCTGGGAACTCCCAGCTCTTCTGATATGCATTACACAAAAAAATTGAGGGGTCATTCCAACATTCAGATCAAAATGCATTAATCTGCACAGGACAGTAATCTTAGTAGTACCAATGAGACTTTTCTAATTGCGTGGACAACAGCGAGGTCTCTTCATTCCACTGTGACCTCTATGCATACACACCATCCTGATTCCAGCTCCTAGATTCTCTTAGCTCTAGATTTTTTTGGTTTTAAAATTAGCAATATTAAATAACAATAGGCCATTAAAAACACCACAGTCAATACATGTCACTATGGCTACTAAAAATGTTCTCTCTTTCTTAATTCTGATTAATATAAATAAGCATATTTATTTAGCAGGACTTTTTTTTTCACTAAATGGATGGCCATTTGAGGGCACGTTAAGATTTTTTTCCATCAGAACACTTAAACTGTAAAAGTTTAATGGTGTTTTTTAGAGGAGCAAGAAGTCACCAGTAAATACTCTGAATGGAGAAATCAGTAACTTCTGTCAGACACTCACCGTAAACAGTCAAAAGCCACCTTTAGTTCTATGCACCCACCTAAGCTGATGTACATGACAAGTTCCATAGGGAAGTGGTAAAGAAGTTATGCTGAGATTACAGAAAATGAATAATGAATAGCTTAGTGTTAGATAAACAAAGTATTTGTCTTGTGGTTCCCACCAAATCCTCCACTGCGATGCATACCATGATCACACAGCTTTAAAGAGCAGAATAAAATGGAAGGACACATTGGTAGACAAGTGTACAGAAGTTTGATATTTTATGGGCTTTTATAACCTTTAAGAGGTATTCTGATATAATTTTTAAGAAAGAATAAAATAAAACTCAACTAATAATTCTCAGAAGTTTTTTATGGGAAGAGATTTCACTTTTATTGTTCACAAGAATTATCTTTGTAATGGAACAAGTTTTCATAGCAGCAGATACTGTAAGTCAAGGTGATTTTCTTTGAGAGCATGTTATCAAATGACCTACACAAGAAGGACAGGAAAAATGACTGGCATCAAGAGATCCATAGGCAGCCCAGCCGGGCGTGGCTCAGCGGTTGAGCGTTGACCTAGGATCCAGGCGATCGGGGTTCGATTCCCAGCCAGGGCACATGCCCTGGTTGCGGGCTGCAGCCGATCAATGACTCTCTCATCATTGATGTTTCTATCTCTCTCTCCCTTTCCTTTCCTCTCTCTGAAATCAATAAAGATATAATAAAAAAAAAAAAAGAGAGAGAGAGATCCATAGGCAGATGAGCTGTCCCTCTGGGAGCTGAGTCTATGAGATGTAGGACATCTAAAGCCATATGCGGAGCAAAGAGAAGTTTCAAAGGATGAGTTAAATACATACCACTGTAGCTTAAAAATAAAAGTAAAAATAGCATAAAATGAAAAAACTGTTTGCATCAGACCTTCGGTTTCTTGGAAATCTGAAGTAATTTTGATGTTTTATATGAGGCAAGATAAGTAGGGTGATTTTATAAATAAGTAAAATTACAGTTGCTTGCTGAAAACAGGAGCATAGTATAATGAGGATGTAGGACCAAATATGTCCCCACAAGTTACAACATTTCCTCCTATATTATAATATCACAGTAAATATTACAACATAGCATTACAACTTAACACCTAAATTTCAGGGGGGTAAATAAATATACCTCACTGACTGATGAGTAAGGATGAAACATTATAGCATGACTGTACATAAAATCAGCTACTCAAATTTTGAAACACAAGTTGCCCTTCTATTCCTTCTAAGATAATGCAACACTGTAAATATTTTGTTAAGATAGAAGGAAAACACAGGTAAATTGTGAACAGTATCTCACAAAAAGACTTAGGACAGACCTGTCAGAATTGTGCCCTGCTTCAACCCCTTTTTCCTATAGGCTGCATCCTTTTTTTTTTTCTTTCTTTTTTTTTTTTTTTTTAAATATATCTTTTTTGATTTCAAAGAGAGGAAAGGAGAGGGAGAGAGAGATAGAAACATCAATGAGGAGAGAGTCATTGATCAAGTCACAACCGGGCATGTGCCCTGACTGGGAATCGAACCCCGATCGCCTGGATCCCAGGTCGACACTCAACCGCTGAGCCACGCCCGGCTGGCCAGGCTGCATCCCTTGACAGACATTGCAAATAGGTTGACTCCTTGCCATCTCTGTTCAGGAGCACTGGTAATGATTTCCTATTGTTTGCTCGATTAGCCATCATCACACATTAGGGAAGAGGGATACTCTTTCTATTTATTGTGGCAGGCGGATGTCACAGCGGTTTAATTCAGAGACTCAGAAATGGAATTCTTCCTTTATAACTAGTAGTGCAAACTTAGCCCACACTTTCTGACATCCTCTGAGATAAGATGGAAAGTAGATCAATGCAGAGGAAGAGGGGATTGATCAAAGAGTGGGGCTAAAAGTCTAGTCACATTCCAATATGGCATTTGCCTTATAGTCTTACTTCTCCAATCTTGGGAGAGCAAATTTGGTGAGAACTGCAAAGGGCCAAGGAGGTAATTCTGAGCCCCAAGTAAGGTTGGCAAATTCCAAGGGTTTAAACCAGCACTCGAAGAATGTGCTGTGGGGCTGTGCGATGCAGTCTGGGAAGGTGTGCAGCTAACTACCAACTTCAACCTCCACCTTGCTTGGAACAGTCAATGACCAAATGTTGGCAAGCTGTCCTGCTCCTGAGAAGATCCTGTATAATCACAACTCACCAGGAGCAGTAGGTTCATTGTGATTTCCTAGTTCCCCACTGGGAGAGGCAACGTCAACAGCACATGCAACGCTGGGCATGACAAAGCTGGGTTCCCCAATGGGAAGAAGGTGCAAGATATCTGCTTCAAAGACTACATATCACGAGAAGGGAAGGGCAGACAAGAAGCCCCTAGAATAGCAGTAGGAAGATGCTCAGAGAAACTTACAAACCACTGGGTTCTATGACTGACTGGACTATTGCATCAAAGTAATAGGTGTGAGTTTAATTATGACCCATTGTCTTTCCTTTATATCAGTATTTCTCCATTTTTCTTAACTCATTCACAATTGACAGTGAAAAATCTTGTCTTCTAGTATCAGTATCATCACCCAGAATGAGACTCACCAAGGAACCTAAAACATGAGTCCTTCTGGCTACATTATTAACACCAATGTAATTTGTATTTTAAACACTTCAACCTTTATTTGAAAGCTACACAGATTCCATCTTTCACTTGGTTATCCAAAAAGCAGAAGTATGGCAATCCATGACAAGGTATTAGAGACACACTTGCCTTTGAAAAAATATCATATTAACCATTAAGACAAACTTCTCAGAACAGAACCTTACTTAGAAGTATGATCATCTAAAAACAAAAATTCATTCTACTTAAATCCAATTCCAAGCTCCCAATGTAAAAACTAGGAGCTGGGATAATTATATACCATTTCCATGGAAAATTAGTGAGCTACAAATAGTCCTTATGCACTAATCCTCAAAGATCCAACATCTTCTGTAGTGTATAAATGACAAGCTCACAAGTGACATCACTCAAATGTCTTCATTCAACTTTATTACTAAGCTGCTGCTAGAAACGCTTCCCATGTATGACTACAACATCCACTTTGTAGGATTTCCTCTGAGACCACGAGTAACTTTGCTTCTTACTCACTCTCAAGCTAATCTTTTCTGTCATCTCATCTCTCATCAAAGTAGGAATTGCATCTCTACTATACATTACTTCTACAACTCACAAAAAAAAAAAAAAAGAGATAAGAAATGAGGTAGCTTCAGGTTCAAGGAAAAGCAGTGATCTATTTTGAAACACAAATTCTTGAGGTAATTTCATTTTCAATCCTGCAGCTCAACCTTGATGGTTTTGTGGTGTCCAGCTGAAGCCCGTAACTAGGAGACTTCGTTTTTGCTGAGATCACTGTGCCTTTATAAATAAAAGCAACCATGTTCAAAGTCACACTGAGATTTTTTCAGAAGTTTTCCTTCTTATTTTCTATAAAAGAGGGGCTGCAGAAACCACATTCTGGATATTCCAGCTCTAGATAATCTAGAATCATCAACTGTAGAACATTTGGCAGTAACTATCAACTTCCCCAAAACACAAACCAAAATCAGCTTACCATGTTACAGATCATATTCTGGTCTGCCTGCATCGTGAATAATGAAGTGTCCTGGGGCTGAAAATCAGGGAGAAAAAAGGAGAGTATTAAGGTTCCAGCTAATTTGCTAAAAAACTACAAATATATCATTTAAATTAGCTCTCATCAATTGTGTCAATAAACACACTACAAAGTTTTTAAAAGTCTATTTGTATTATAATCAGAAAAGCAAAACTTGAAAAGAGTAATTTTTAACTAGTTATTCTAAATATAAATCTGAGCTAGCAGAATACGAGGACACAAGGAGAGACATTAAATAAAGGGCATTGTCTGCAGGGGTATCTTTGGTCTGCAGTTTGTCTTCTGGACATCTATACTGAATTAGTATTTAGTGGCTCTGACCTACAAATTTAATCTTTTTAAATGTTGGAAACTCAATCTTATTACCTTACCTAAGTGTGATTTCTACAGGTTAATTATGAGCCATAACTTAAACATTTCATACAATATATTCATAGACTTAAACAATCAAGATGTTGGAATCTAAGAGAGCAGTGATCTCTAAGGCAGTGGTAATCTCTCATTATATTCATCGCTAGAGTTATGACCTCCAGACAGGAGACCAGCAAAGTCTTTCCTGGGAAATCTGATCAAGGAAAACAAAAAAAATGACACCAAAGGTTCTCTAACAGGAAAGATGAGGCAGTGACATTTGGTTAAAGGTGGTGGATTGAACACAGGCAATTACTTGTTACCTCCAGAATTCAAACAATAAGGGAATTTCATAAAGCAAAAAATTTAAAGGCATAAACTCATAAGTGTAAAAAGAATGGGAAAAAGAGGTAAGAGCAACAAAATTTTGAAATTGAAAATCAGGAAAATGAGCAATAAGCAACTTGCTGGATCCCAAAAGACTGGTATCCTAAGGTGATGTGAGAAATGCCAAAAAGCAACCCAATTTATTACTCAGAATTTTCAATGGATCAAGAATTAGAAACATGGGAACCACAGGAAATGGAAGTTAGGGTGGTACTAAAGACAGGGGAAATAGTTGAAAGTCTATTAAAAAGTAATTAGAATGCAAGATAGTCTGATGTATGTGAAAACCAAGCAATATTCCCTCCCACTCCAGCACAGGTCTTAAGATTGTTTCCACAGAGGCTGAAACAGAGGGTCTCTGGACTGGGGGACACACAGGCATATTAAGAAAGTAGCAGGATTAAGTGAGAGTTTACATAATACATATTGAGAATATGGGTCCTATCCCCCCAACTTTTTCCCCATTTGCCTCCCATTACATTGGCAACCAGGCTTGCACACCTCATATAGGAGACCAGAAGAGTCTTCCCAGAGAAATTTGACTAGCTCCAAAAAAGTAAAGAATCTGATATAAGGGGTTCCTCAACAGAAAAGATGAGCCAGAAAACCATAGAACAATGCCATAGTTGATGAGCTTTATCAACTCCCTGTACAAGCTTCCTGTCAGTTTTTAGGTCCCACTCTTATAAATATGAGTGGACAGCCAAGATCTTCAGACATTTAAGAAAAGCCTATTATTAAAGGGAGAAACCAAATAGTAAACAAGCAAACAAACAAAAAACAACAAAGAATTTTTGGGGGAAGGAAACTTTCAAAAATTATTATTAATATCCTCAGAGATATAATGGAAGATGTTTCCATTACATAAAATGAGAATGCTATTAAAAACAAATGTTCATTAAACAAAAAGAACACTTGAAATTAAAAAATATATATATAGAAGTGAAAAATCTGTAGAAAAGTTGCAAAGTAAAGAAAGATGACAGAGAAAAAATAGCAAAAAAAAAATCATTAGAGCAGAGGATCCCAGGGGAGCGGTGAGTCTGGGAGGGGACGGCACCTTCCTAGGAAACAAAGCCTCTAGTGGCCGCTGCCACCAGCTTCTGGTGCTTGGGGTGCCAACCATAGGGAACGATGTCCCAAGGGCTGTGGCACCCAAGTGGTAAGGGACCAGACGACGGCGCTGAGCAGCCGCACATGGGGACCCTCTGCCTCCCTGTGGGGCATTGTGTTGAGCCCCAAAAAGGCTGAATCTGCACGGTGCAGGGAAGGGGAGGGGCCCTCCCCGCCCTGAGCTCCAGATGCGGGGAGGCTGGGACCTGCGACCAGCCCTGAGGGACGAGGTGGTGGCTGGTGAAGCTGCTCCAGCTTTGCTGAGACCAGCGGTGCAGGGAGCTGTGTGGAGCTGACTTTGGGTCCCCTCCCACTGGGGGCCTTGGAGTGAGGGCGGCAGGACCCTGCAGGGCAGACTCTCTGCCTGTGTGTTGCTTTGTGCGTTTGCAAGTTTGATCCTGGAACTGGTTCCCACCTTCCTGGCTGGCAAGGCAGGGACAGACAAGCAGAAGCTGGGGTTGGGGTCTGCACAGTAGACGGTCTGAGGGGCAGGCCTGGTGCCACCGGCCAACCAGAGCTGAGCAGGGAGGGGCGGAGCCCACCAGCCTCTCCTGCAGCGGGGAGCACCCCTCCCAACAGGAAAGGGGCGGGTCCCACTCACTGAAGCCCCAGACACCCCACAGGGCACAGTCCTGAGGGGGAAGGGAGAGCAGCTCACAGGAGGACTTTACAAGAATAAGACTATCAGGGACTGTTGTTTGGGAACTGGAGGAAACGCTGAAAACCCCTGCTGGGGGCTGGGCAGGCAAAGGGCTCACCAGAATGTGTTTTTAATCTGACCTACTGAGCCCAGGCTGCTGAAACAGCCCATACAGAAAAGGGAACAGGCGGAAATCAACCTGAAGCTGCAGCAGGTCAGGGCCTGGGGAACTAGAATCAGGGCACAGGGTAGGGACTGAGGAGCTGGCTGTGGAGCAGAGACTAACGCCCGCAGAGTGAGCACCTGACAGCGACACCTCTAGGGGGAGTGATACCCTGAGCTACACTAGCCACCCTGCACCCTAAAGACTCTACAGAAGACTCTGGAGTAGATCAGGCAACTATAAGGTTGCAAAATAGCTGACAAGAGGAGGTGGCCCACAGAGAGCCTCAGATCAACCATCTACCTAAGGACACCAGAGCCAAACCTAGACTGCTCTTCAAATTGGGGGGATACACAAACACCTCCCAGGAGAACTGCAATTAGCACACAAAGCAGTGACCCTCAGACAACATAAGTTGCCCAGAAAAAACTGACCTGATCGACTGCCTTTTTTTTTCTGCTGTTTTTTTCTTTGGTTTGGTTTTGTGTTTATTTGGTTTTGGAGTTTTTTTTGTTTGTTTTTTGTTTGTGGACATGTTTATTTTTTCTCTTTTTTCCTTAGGGAGAAAGGGGAGAAAATTTGTTTTTTCTTCTTTTTTAAATTTTTAATAATTTTCTTTTTAAACTAATTTTTTTTTCTTTCTACTTTTTATAAAAGAATTTTGTTTTGCTTTGCTTAATTTTTAGTTTTATTTTGGATATTTGCTTTGTTTTCTTGTATCCTTGCTTCTAATATCAAGACTTTCTTGATATCCCTGCTCAAGGACTGGGACTTTATCATTATATCCAAGTTTACTGCTTTCCCCCAAATCTCTTACTGGACTCCCTCCCTGCCGGGGCTTTATCTCTCTCTCTCCTCTCAATCCATTGGCATAACGTTTTCTTCTGTTTCTTTTTTCTTTTTCTACTTTTCTTTCATTCTTTCATTATGCTCCCTTTCTGTCTTCCTGATTGTTAGTCTCTCCTATTCTCTTTATTGTATTTTTGTTTTCTCATTTTCAACTACTATCCTATTTCTATTCTCTCCCTTAATTTTTTGTGGCATTCTTTCAGAATCTTTTCTCTGCTTCTGTTACCGCACAGTAGCTTTTTTATTTTTTACATTTTAGTTTATTAGTTTCTGAATTTTCACCAGTATGAACAACTATCTACATCTCTCTAAGAGTTACTTTTCTTTCTCTCTTTCTTTCTTTTTTGTTTTTGTTAAGCATCTTTTCCTTTTTTATTCTGTGTGTGTGTGGGGGTGTGTGTGTGTGTTGTGTTCTCCCTTCACTCTCCCAGTTCTATTTTCACGTGGGTTGTTTTCATTGTTACTGTGAAGATATTTTGTAAAATACCTCTTGTTTCCTGGAATTTTAGTTGTGCATTGGGCTGCCTTGCCAGCATCCGTAAAACAGCTTACATGTTGAGGTTGGGGCTGAGACACAGTTAGCCAACCTGGGAGAACGGTCCTCCCAAGGACTGATCAACAACAATCTAAACCCAACCACAATAGGAGAACAAAAACAAACCACAAAAGGGGCACCCACAAGAGGGACACAACTAGAAAAAAGAGCTCAGAGGTATAAGGAAAACACATCTCTGAGCTCCACTGGACCCACAAGACAAAATCCCATTCCACAAGACTGGGGGTCAGTGAATATATCTAATATATAGATACAAACACTAAGACCTACCAAAATGGGGAGACAAAGAAACAACCCCCAAATTAAAGACAAGGAAACATGGCCAGAAAAACACAGTGATGGGATGGAGTTAACAAGCTATCACAAATGGAGTTCAGAGTATGGATGATGAAGATGTTCAAGGAAATTAAGAAGACTCTAGATGACAAGATTGAGGACCTTAGTGAAAATATGAAAAAAGAGATACATACCATAAATAAAACTCAGACAGAGATAAAGAATGCTGTATCTGATATCAAGAATGCACTGGAAGGAATTAAAAGCAGGCTCAATGAAGCAGAGGATAGAATAAGTGACTTAGAAGACAAGGTAGAAGAAATCACACAATCAGAGCAGCAAAAAGAGAAAACACTTAAAAAACACGAAGACAGTCTAAGGGAGCTTTGCAACAACATAAAGCGAAACAACATTCGCATTATAGGAGTGCCAGAGGGGGAGGAAAGAGAGCAAGGGATAGAGAACTTGGTGGAAGAAATAATTATAGAAAACTTCCCTAGGCTGGCGAAGGAGAAAGCCACACCAGTTCAGGAAGCACAGAGGGTCCCAAACAAGAGGGACCCAAAGAGACCCACTCCAAGACACATCATAATTAAAATGACAAATGTCAAGGACAAAGAGAAAATATTAAGGGCTGCAAGAGAGAGACAAGCAGTGACCAA